TCAAAGGCCTTTTATTTATACACCTGGGAAATATGGAGGAACAGGCATATCTCTCTGTTTCCACTGAGGAAACAGTGAAATGATGTATTTTACTTCACATACTCCATGTTCAAGTCTTAATCCTATTTTATTACTCTCTGGTGTTAGACTTGTCAGCTAAGGATTGTGGTAGAACCAGACACTTAATTTGCAGGGCCCTCTGCACAATGAAAATTCAGTCTCTTGATTGAAAAGTTATTAATCATTTAAAGAGATAACAGAGTGTGCACTCAATGGCATGGCCTTTCTGAGAGCAGCCTGGTGAAGTTGCAAGGATCACAAACCCACGGTGTCAGCCTGGTCTTACTTTAAGCAGCCATCAGTACACTAGACACAGTTCATGTTCTGATTAAGCTGAAAGATTTGAAGACTCAGGTGTCAGCAGCAAGAGCCCAGGGAAGACTGCAGAGGCAAGAAAACTGTGCTTAGGTGGGTACCCAGATGCTTAGGACTCACTTCCCTGAGGCACATTTCATCCTGAGAACAGGAAGGCACTTTCAGATGCCCCCAACACCTGACCCCCAGCAGATGACCTGAGTCTTGATAACTATCTGGTTGGGGAAGAGTTACTTTTGGACATGGCTAGGAGTAACTCACTGATGAGATGTTTATGTTCCAGATTGACTCAAGCATGAGTACACTTTATATGTAGTTATTTTACTAAATTCTGTTAGCTAACAACTGGATATATATTTTGGAGGTAGAAAATGAGTTTAACTTCAATGTTTATAAGCAGATGACATCTTAATCATGTGTTTCATAATTAACAGTAATCACATCAGTGATACACTTTTAGTCTCTCATTTATTTAGTGAATATTCATTCACCAATTGCTGTAGATTATAGGTATAGTTTTAGGGATCAGAAAAATAGCAGTGGGGCAGGACCAACTCTTGCCCTTTACAAGCATGCACTTTAATGGACTCCATTGAAGCTAGAGAGTTGTGATTGACTTTAAAATATAAAATTTGGTCTTTTTCTCATGTAACTTCTTATTTTTTTTTACTTTAATCAAAGTAAAATAAACTTTCAGGAAAAATTATATTTTTACTGTAAAGAAAAATGTTATAGAATGCTAGGGAAAAAGTAGGTTCCTAAGGGACATTAATTTTTTTCTCCTCTTTGAGGAAGATAAAAATCATTGTAAGCATAAAGCCTGCACAGGTAACATTGCATTTGTTAGAGATTTTTAACATGAAATTAGAGTAGAGATGAGTTTTTGATTGTCATTTTGACAGGTATGATATATGTAATACTTAGCTTTTGCCATAAAATTGTTTTCTGATTTGTATATTGTAACTTAGCAAACTTCATTCAATACACTATATTACTTCTATGATTTCTCACATTAAAAACAAAAAAGTCCAATAGGATAACTACAGTGCCTCTTGAGGAAAAAAAAAAAAGCAACAAAGAAAGAAACATACACATTTAAGACACTGTGGAATGTGGAAAAGACATGTTAAGATTCCTATGAATGCAAACAGCATTCACAGCCATGAATTTTGATATTTCTTAAAATCTTTTATTTTCCATGGCAGAAGAGCACTCGAAATTACACAGATACAAAATTTCTTTGTCAGAATAAAATACAATATAACTTCAACATGAATAGTAAAAATTTCTCTTCTTGCATCTTCTTTGTATCTATCCCTGCCATCCTAATTCATGTCACTGTCCTAACTTGGAAAGACTTTCTAATTACTATTCACTAAAATATTTTCCCTCCCCCTTCTTTTAAACATTCTTTATCATTTTAATGCAAGGAACAATAGTACATATTAGAATTTTTCCCTTTTTTGATTCCTAGACATTTTCTGTATTGAAGTATATTGTAATGGCTTCCTTTTAAGATCAATTCACAAGAAGTTTGTGAGAGATCTATTATGTGCAAGGAACTTGCTTAAGGGATGGTAGCATTTGGCAGTGATTAGGGACATATAAGGGATATTATTCTCCTACTCTCTGGCCATCAGATCCTGCATATCTTTCAATTGCTTCTTTCTTTATCAAATTTTTCCAAAATCATAGTAAAAATTTATTAATCATGGTAAAAATTATTTATTATTATAAATGTATATATATTTATACAAAAATTTATTATACATTTATTGTATACGGTGTTCCAGAGGTTACTATATGTCTATATATCATCGACCATTTTGCTTTTTCCTTGTTACTTTTGTGATTAACTATACTCATTAGATCTGTGTTGTGGCTCTTCATTTTAAAATTAACTAATTAACATGAAATAATATTAAAACTTCAGTTCTTTACCTCTGTTAGTCACATTTCAGTTGTATAATAGCCATGCATAGCTTGTGGTGCTACTCTTTATATGCTGTCAGAGAGCTCTGACTTAGACCGTTTCCACCAGCACAGAAGTTTACAGGACAATGCTGCACCAGAGTGTACATCCCCTGACTGTGGAGGTGGGGGGGGTGTTATAATTTAAATTAATGAAATTAAAGTTGATAAAATATTAATTGTGAAAGATGTAGGTCTTAGTGGTGCTGTGGGAAAAGAAGCAACGCCAGCACTGCTTGGCAGGCAGACAGAACTGCACATTAAAGCAGACTCTTGTTTTCTTGAGATTACACTGGACTGTAAAGAAAGCCATGCATATGTTCTCTGAAACAAAGGCAATACGGGCTCAAAACAACCACAAAACTACATGTAACGTTCACCACAAATTTAAACAGATGTTGACAGATTGAAGAAAATGGATAGAGAAACAATAACTGATGTGTTTTCATCAATTCAAATATTCATAATACCAAGTTTACATTTGTTTTTAAAATTCTTTAAGAAGACTATTTTAATGGGCTTGAAATACAATTTTAAAGAGATGTGTTCTAAGAACAAATATTCTGAGGATCCTAGGAAATTCTTCATTAGTACCAGAGAAATGAGCATTTTTATTTTTTACTAAGACAATAAAAAAGTAAGTTATTGCAAACAACTGAGTTTAAAAAAACATAAGATTATTGGTTCCATAGAAATATACGACCTCCTTTTCTAAACCTGTGAGCATGTAGAACCATGAGATATTTTCGTGAAGCCGTTGGTCTTCAGTTTGAGGGTACTTCCACGAAGCACAATGGCTATTCTGCAGAGGGAGTGGCTTGGTGTGGGGAAAGGAGTGTGAACTGTGGAGTGGGACTACTTGGGATTTTCATTCCAGTCTGTCCCTGGCAGGGCTGTCCTGGGCATTTTACTGCCTGCTGTCCATGTGTTCATTCAAGGTAGCAGGAGGCCACTGATCCTTACAGAAGCACCAAGCACTGTCTGGTCTGCCCAGTACCTGCTGCTTTTCAAAATAAAAAGTCTGGTAAACGTGTGTGTGTGTGTGTTTGTGTGTGTGTGTCTGTGTGTGAGTGTGTGTGTTGGGGCTGCTTATAATTTGGGGTTTCAATATTAGACAAATGAATATTATCCAAAACTGCTCTTAAATCCTAACAACATTAGGCTGTCTGTGCTCCATGCTGTTTCACACATGCTTGTGTAACCCTTGAGTGCTGCTCACTTTTAGAATAGTTTTTTTATGTTTTAAGAAGAGGAAATAATAATGACAGGAATAAAATCTATGGAGTTATTTTTACAAGGACAATGTGAATTGTATATAAAATTTGGGATGCACTATTCAACAATTGTGGACCAGTCTAATACAATTACTATCTGTGATCCGACTGATGTTTAGATTCTCTCAAGATAGCTTCCAAAGCAGATTTTAAATTTCTGAAGGGCTATGAACCAAATTCACTCCTCATTGCATTCTGGGGATCACTGAAGATAGTATGACATGTATTATGCCAGTGTTTGTTTAATTTATGTCTAGCAGAAGAAAGGTCTGAAATATTCTACCCTCTAATCTGTCAGCTACTGCCCTTGAGATGGCCAATAGGAGCAACAGGTTTGGGCATATAGTTAAAAATGGAATCAAATGAGTGATTTATACAAGTACAATGTCCTAGCAACCCCTGTGAATGACAAGAATGGATGCAGATTTATACACTAAGCCTTCCATGGATGTCATGTGAGGCAGCCTGCTTCCAGAGTCAATTCTTTGGGAACACAAAGAGTAACTGAACATAGATACAGTCTTCACCAACCAGGAAAGAAAAATTCTGGAAATAAAAAAATATTATTGTTCTTCGAAATAAAAGTAAAGTTCACTCAATTTTTTTTCAATGGCTTTCTAAACCTTTCTTTTGTCTTCATGGTTTGACAGTGCAGCCGTGATCATCCTGATCCTCTCCGCAATCTGTCACTTAGAGACTGTTCTCAAGGTAGATTTTACTGAAGCCCTCAATAGGAAATGCAGAAATACAACCTAGAATGTCTTAAATAAGAAACAGTAAGAATGAGATTGTAAGACTTTCGGTTCTCCTGCCTGATTCATTGATTTGAGCTTTTCATCTGATTGTGTACACAGAAAGATTGAAGGGTAAACAGATTTAGGAACTGATTGCTGTGAATAAATTGTTTACAGATGATAAGAGAGACACACTTTCAGCTCCTGTTATTTTTGTTTGTTGATTTTTCTGTAAATCACCATGCGTGTTTATCTCTCCTTAGGTAAACCAAATGTGATCCCTGTATTTTTTTGTGGAGATAGGGCAAGGTGTCATCATTACAGTGTTTACTGAAGTAAAAATTTACCCAGGATTACATAGCCTGATAGACTTGAAGGAAAGGCTGTCACCTTGACACACACTTGGAAAGATTGCCTATGTTCTTTCCTATTTCCTGTGTTATTTGTTTGGAAGGCCAAAACATTTTCGCTCAGTGAAGAATTTATTAAAATTTTTAAGATATTTTAGTTTATCCTAGATATACTAGCAACTTCTGAGATAACGCTGTTTAAAAGTAGCGGGGAAAGGGATGATTACTGTCCTTTATTGTGTCCCCTTACTTCAGTCTCTTTTTCATCTGCCTGTTTGTGTCTAATTTAATTTTAGAGGGCTGCTGAAGTATCAAACCAATTTAGATACTCACCCTCCCGGCTGCGTCTTTCTTAACCAAACCCGCTCTCAGGATGTTTCCGTACCAGAGCTTCTCTCAGAACACTTTCACGAACCTTTCCCTGGAGGATTTCCAAACCCAGAGAAGCTTAACCAAAGCACGTTTGTGAAGATTTGTGTGGAAGAACCCAGATTTCAAGCTAATTTTCCACAGGTCAGATTAATTCTGCTTTAGGTCTTTAGAAAGTCTATGGGTTAAGAAAATTGATCAATATCACATTTAAACATATTTTTGATCCTGTATATTCATACATAATAGGATACTGTAGAATATTTCAACATCAACTTAGTACTAGTTACTCCCTTATAGATATTTGAGAGTTCCAGGCAAAAGACCTGTTATATTTGAGAATATAGAAAATTTAAATTGATCATATGATCTTTACATATTATGATGCTAGTGCTTACTATCAGAAAAGCAATAAATGTTATTTTAGCAAACCATTGCAAAGCAGCCTGAGTAAAAACACAGTACTAAAGCAACTAATATTACTACTATAAATCATATTGTATATTACATCATATCATATATCATATTTTTAATAGTAAATTGTAAAGTTCACGTATTGAACACTTAATGTTATCTGTTAGGCACTATGCATTGTACTAAAATGTTCTGCATGCATTTTTCCAGCATTCACAATGACTCTTGAAACTTGAATCATTTTTCTGATGAAGGAATTATGTTTACATAAATAAAATATCTTGACCAAAACCTCTAAACTAATAAGTGGTAGAGGGAACAGTCAACTACCAACTAAAATGCCTTGCTCTCTGAAAGTTTCCCTAAATATTCAGTAGTTTATTAAAAGCCCTAATTTTCCCATGTGACTGATGGAACTAGTGACATGTAAATCACATGCTCTACTCTATCTCTAGGGAAGGTGGGGAATAATGATGTCAAAATCTACTTTCAGAAGGGAAGAAAGAAACACCAAAAGCTAGAATAAATTTGTAGAATAAGTGTGCTGGTATTATCTTTGTTATTTATAATAATCCTCTACATACCTTAATAATTACTTCATTATTTCAATGCTTATCTAAATTTTACATAATGCTGACTATTAGATAAAGGAGGTCTGATGATTCCCACCTACTTAAATGTGACCTGATGATCAGAGGGTAACTGTCCCAAAACCCAAGGCTGTTACATTGCAGGACCTGTCCTACAAGACCTTTTCTTTACACAGTGGCATCGAAATTTCACATATATAGACATGTCACGATCTCTTTGGGGAGAGGAAGGTCTGGAAAACATATGTAAATAAGGTTTTAATAGTGACCATTGAGGGTTAGTTGGAAGTTTGAAGGTGATGAGGGAGGTGCAGTGTGCATTTGTAGGAGAATGGCACCCTAACAGGCTTCCGGACTTCCCAGTTCAAAACTGTCACAGTGTTTATATATGATTTTCTGTTCATACTGTGTTATGCAAATGTAAGTTTCAACATGTCTATCATATCCCATTTTTAAAAATGTGTGTATTGTGTATGTACATCATCCATATACACTATGAACACTGAAATATCTGGAGTTTTTTTTATAAATCATTAAACTGGTAAAACAGTAGTCTTTTCTTCCTAGAAAAGACTTTATCCCCTTTATCCCCTTTATCCCCTTTTACTGAAAGACATTACATTCACACATAGTGTATTTATGTGCACGGAAGGTGAAAGAATGAACTTTTACATATTACACAGAGTGTGTGGGTTTGAGATTGGGTCTTGACATTATCTGTTATACTCAAGTTGTATTTGTATGAGATTTGGCCAGTGTTCATTGTTTATTCATTCACTTTTCAAGACACAAAATAAAGTGTTGTTACAGTAATGTGTAAAATAAACAATTAGGCAAGATACAGATTCCTACAGCCCAGATATTTATTGAGGTGCATTTTCAAAAACTCCCCCATAGACTTGGCTTTGGATTTCTGGACCTTTGTGCCTGTACTGTGCCGAAAGACTTTACAGGTGCATCCGGGGCAATAAGCCAGTCACCATCATCTCAGTCATTAGTCATCCAGCAGATGTCATGGAAATCCGAATGGTCAAAGAAAACTTTAAAGCAAGACCTGGCCAGGTGAGTCACTAGACAGCAATGTTTAAAATATGCTTTAGCATGTGATCATCCATAATTTTTGAAAATTAGTAGGCATAACATCAATGGGATAGTCAAGATTTTTTTGTGATTTAAAATGTTTCCTTTTTGTCACTTTTGTAGTACATTATTCTACATTGTCCCAGTGTATCTGCATTGGAAAACCATCCATTCACCCTCACAATGGTAAGATACTTGTTTCTTGAATTTTGAAAATTTTAGAATTTAATGCATTTTTCTATATGTGTGTGTGGGGGTATGTGATTTTTCTCATTTTTAAAGTTGTAGAAGTCAAGGTTTTCACAATACCCTTAATGTTTAATTAAGCCATCTTTTTACAAAGAAATACAGTAATGTATTCAAAACCTTTGTAACTGTTCTTTATTATTTTATCACATATTCTAATTCAGTAAGTGTATTAGTCACTTCTCTATAGTTAGAACAAACCAACACACCTGGTATAAATGACTTAAAGAGGAAGAATTAACTTTGACTTACAGTTTCAGAGGGTCAGTTGATGGATAGCTGGCTCCAAGGCAGAAATGTCATGAGGGAAAGACCTGGTAGAGGAAGGTATTTAATCTATGGCAGCCAGGAAGGAGAAGGGAAGAAGTCTTTCCAGGTCAAGAACATACCCTTCCAGTTCACATCTCTGATAACCCACCTCCACCAGTCAGGCCCTGTTTCCTGTAGCACATTAATCTGTGAATTTATCAATGGATTAATCCACTGGTGAGTTTAGCACCCTCATAATCTCATCACCTTCCAAAACCTGACCTCTGAATATATGATACTTTTGGGACTCATTTTAGATCAAAACTGTAAGTAATGTATTAAAATTTTATTAAGCTATTGATTCAAAATATATAAATTTCTTAGATGTTTTTACTTTACCTTTAAAAAGTATATATGGGAAACTAATATGTGCTTAGTGTTCTTTAAAGAGATAGAATTTAAGGAAAAAGAGAATACTCTGGGTTGAGGTAAAAACATTAAAAAATCAATGGAGTATTTAGAAAAACTACAGTCAGTATAATTGGCTACTAAGCTATTTATTGGAAAAATAAATTTAGAAAAGTAAAATGAAATAAATATTGGGGGTTGAGCTATGTAAATAATGGGTAACATTAAATATACTTAATTTATCAGGCTATTTAGCATTTTCTTCATTATAAAAATAGCATGAGCCTTTTATAAAAATTCCAATAATTCACACACATAAAATAATGTAGAAACTTGTTAATTTTCTTTGTCTCCCAATCCAAAGTTTGGCAGATGAGTTTTTAGGTCTTCTTTATTTTAGTTTTTTATTTTGTGAAAACATAAAACAAAATTTCAGGACAAAATAAAGAATAGCAGTTAATATTCTGTATCATTATCCTCAAAGTAGTTATTTGGACTGTAAGACATAGACAAAAGAGAATCTTACAACAAAGAAACAAGCAGATAATACCACAAAACTTTCTTTTCAAGACCTAAGATACACTAGTAGTTTAAATGGAACACATTAGCATATATACTGAATTATTTTGAAGCAAAGGAATGTGTAATTTTGAATCACATTGTTCTGTCATCGCCTCCTTTAATATATCATGGACAACTTTTCTTGCTACTATATTTATATATGACTCATTATTTTTAATGACTACATAATATTTCACATTAGGAAAGTACAAGTTATTTAATAGTGCCATTAATGCCTGGTATTTTAGTTTTATTCATTTATAAAAGAGATAAATAAGAATAAGGATTAAATAGTTAAATGTAGGTATAAGAAAAGTAATTAGGGAGAGACCAACAAAATAATGAAAGTCAAAGTGCTGAGATTTGGGGGTGGGGTTTTACTCAGAATAGAAGTTATTTTCAAATTAGGTATATTATACTAGTTAGGTTGAAGATTCCAAAACCCTGGGCACATTATTTCACTTTTCATGCATTTCATTTCTAGTAGAATATTGGGATGAAAGCAGCACCTAATCATAGTTTGTGGTGGGCTTAAGTGAACTCTTACAAGTAAGGCATGCAGAGCACTTCCTGAAACACTGCAGAATGTGCTGTCTACATAAATAGAAGTTAGTAGCTATCATGAATTTTACTTTCTTTTTTTTGTTTTTTTTCTGGTACCGGGAATCCAACTCACAACCTTGTGCTTGCCAGGCAGGCACTGTGCCACTGAGCTAAATCCCCAGCCCTTTTTTGTTTGTTTGTTTGTTTTGGTTTTTTCCAGTATTGGGACTCAAACTCATGACCTCGCGCTTGGCAGGCAGGCATTGTGCCACTGAGCTAAATCCCCAACCCCATGAATTTTCCTTTCAATATGGGTTTACATCTTGAGAATATGTACTTATGAAGACATCTAGGCCAAAAAATATGCAATGCTAGGATAAATGAGACACAAAGGATCAAATGGCTAGAACAAAATAAGGGGGCATTGATTCAATGACATCTTCTAAAGAGACAAAAAAAATATTTTTGGTTTATTTCCTTCAAATTTTGTAATTTTATGTAGCAAACTTGTTTCTAGATAAGTAAAGAAAAGTAGTTCGGCATCTAGTGAAATCATTCTATTTTGTTGTGTTGTCATTGTGTGTTTTTGAAATCGAGTTCTTACTATGTTGCCCAGGCTGACATCCAACTTCTTATCCTCCTTCCTCAGCCTCCCTAGTAACTAGTAACTGGGCTTACAGGTATGCACCACTGTAATCATATTCTACTTTATCAAGGAGGGTGGCAACACTGCCCTGCCACAGGGACAGAATTAAGCTGTGGTTGTTTTCCTGATGGTGACAGAGAATAGTTCTGGACATACTTTCATCTGGAGTTGTATGGTGGCTGAGGGCAGTGCGAGTGGGGATATGTTGTCATCAGAAGCAATGAACACTGTGTTGCACACAAGGAATATAAAACAGGACTTTGATGTCCCAGGGACACTGCCGTCCCCGGGAGGTGAGCAACTGCCCCATGTTTGCTACTCCTCCGGAATGTGCAGGTTAATCTCCTTGCACAAGAACAGCAGGGGTCTCAGTGAATACATCTGATTGCAAAACCCTTCAATGGAAAGTTTCCGCAGAGCTGTGCTTTCATTCTGATATTTGTAAGACATATTTCCATTTTTAGGCATATAAACATGTAGGGAGGAAAAAATTGAAAAGGGGGGAAATACACAGTTTGTTTTCTCTAAGTAGCTGAAAAGATTTGCTGTCAGAAAAATTTTATTTCAGAAATTAATCTTTACTTGTGTTTGAGATTTTATTGTGAAAATTGTTTCTCCAGCAGAACATTAGATAGTGAACATGGGGTAACAATAAATGCAATTGCTAAATGCTGAGCAGAGAAGAGAGGGCTTTTCCTCCATAAAATATTGCGCAGCACCCTCAGAGTAGAGAGAACAGCATAATAAGCCATGGTGTCCCTCTTAACCAACTTCAACAAAAACATAGAATCTACTTTCCTTTTAGTATATGTGCTTTGAAAACTTTCACGTTCTCCTGAAACAAAAGTAAAATAATTTTCTTTTTTAATCTCTGGTCCATACTGACTGGAGCTCTCTAGAGCTAATATTCTTCAGTTTTTAGGTGGCAAACATGAGAAATGAGAAGAAATTGAGTGTAGATTCTGAAGGGCGTTCACCAAGCGCCTGCATGGACTGACTCCTGTCTCAGTATGACTGTGCAGAGAGTGTGATAGCCCTGTAGCAGGCCTGAGGCACAGATGGGCACTTCAGTTCTCTTAAAAGAGCCCTGTTCTTCAGGAATAGTTCTTTAAGAAAAGTAGGAAGAACGGAAAGAAGGAAGGAAGGTAGGAAGGAAGGAAGCTACTTTTTAAGACTTCAGATAGTTTGGAAAATATATTGCTGTAATACTCTTTTTGAATCCATAGTGCCCTTTAATATAGTAATGATTTAGGGAAAGTCTTTAATAGATAGCCCCATCAAGTTTTATCCATTCATTTATTTAGCACTTTCATACTTGCCTTTTTTTGAGGGTTTGCACAAACTAATCCCATCATAGTGGGAACAAAGCAGTTTCTTTCCCTTGGTCACACCCTGAAGGTCATGCACTCTTTTTGACTGGGAACTCCTACTCATCCAACATGTGTCTTCTGAGTGTCACGTCTGCTAAGAAGCCTTTACTGACCTTCCCTACCTGATTAAGCTTTATGACTTTTGCTTCCTAGGAGCACCCTGTGTACCACTTTCTGCACCAGTGTCCTTAGATTATGTGCTGCTGCTCCCGTTCTTCTTAGGCCATAAGATCCACAGTTTCAAAGATTCATTCAGAGCACATTACCTAACACGCAGGATAACCCAATATATATTAGTTGAAGGAATAAAAAACACACAATATATGACAAATATTTGGGGCTTAGCTTAAAGATGCTTTATGGACAGAGCTCGTTTTCTGTGAAGGGCACTCATACTTGGAAGGTGAAGCTAGAGGAAAAGAAAAGTAGCTGGGATTAAGGAGAAGGGAGAAATGTTTACTACCAAAGTTGTCCATTCAGAGTAGATGTACCGGTCAAGTTCTGAGTCTTAATGTTGGGGTCATGATGCGAATTTCCAGAGGAGAGTAAGGGAATGTGTCTATGGCAGAAATGGTCGGAGGGGAAGCACCAAGGAGAAGCCTGTGCGGCTCGTGGGTTTCTTCTGGTCTGACATGGAGGTCGCTTCACCCCACCCTTCCCTCACTCTTGGGGCTAAGATCAGTGGAAAATTACTTCTTAGTTGCTATTTGTCAGACAGATCCTGTTAATATTTTCTAGGTTTCTAGCAATATGTACTTTGAAGTAGATCTTGACTCTACAAATTTAGGTTTTGTATTCACATTCATTCACATTTTAAACACTTTTTCCTGTTTGGGTTATGTCTTATTAAACTTGGTATAAGTTTTTGAAAGAATTAAAAATTGCAAAATTGATTGCCTTTAAATGGTTTAGAATAGTTGGCTTCCAAAAGAAGTTTTAAGCAAAGAAAATTATTATGAAATCATCTTTCTACCATGTACTATGCCTAAGCTTAGGAAACAGATTTTAGCCTTCCCAGATTTGGGGGAGTGGTTCGCTAGCAAGTGTACTTATATCCCTCAAGGGAATTTCTGTCTTCATAAGTGGGAAAATAGGCACATCTTTCTGCTGCTTAGAAATGAATTTAAGCAAAGCAAACATGTCTAAGCTAAGTTTTATTACTG